TATCACCTGTTAAAAAAGGGCTTTCTGGTTACTACCCCCAACCTCAAACCCCTCGATATTGTGATAATTCCTAATAGCTAAAGCGCCAGGACAAAAAGGATCAGTGACACTCTTGCCTAGTTCTATTTGTAAAAAGCATTTTTGAGGCAAGTTTTACTATAGTCTCTGGTAAACAATATCCTTCTTATGTGCTCTGCTTCTCTTTAAAGTCATCATCAGTTGAACAATCTTGTCTAACTCTAAGGTCTAACTCGGGTTCACACCTGTACGTTTTGTAGCGCGTTCAACGCTCTACGAACGCTCTACAAAACGCTCAAACATGAAAATCCCATTGTTTTCTATGGGTATGTTTCACACCTTGCCGTATTTCAGCCCGTCTGAACGCGCTACAAAACGGCCTACGCCTGAAAAGGTACATGAGCTTCTTTGCGGCGTTTTTGTTGCGCATTTCCATTGGGATACAGCCAAGTAGCCCTCGAAAACGCGCGTTTGCCGCGTGTTTTTTTAACCGCGAATCGCGGTAGAAACGCGCGACAAATTTGCATATTTGATACGCCTAGGTGTGAACAGAGCCTAAGATAACGGCTGTAGAGGATCGCCATCACTAAAGGCCATAGATGTGAACTTGTAGAATAGTGTTTTCTGCAGTTGTTTTAGGAAATAGACAGAGTGCCATCTTGTTGTAGATGTACTTCCACACCGAAAATGAAAGGATGTGTTGATCAAAAGCAGGGCTTGAAAAATGTTAGGGTGTCTATTGGCCTTGCAATTTACGTAAAAAAATTTTGGGGACAGATAGCGCTTTCTTTTGGAGGTATATAATCACCTCGGGGGTTCTTTTTTTAATATATAATGAAAAAAGTAAAAGAAAAAAAAAGAGTTTCCCTACACTATATTATAAAACATTTATTATTACCCATATTTTTGGTAAAACATGCAAGTTGGGGTCACGTCGGGTAAATAGACACCAAACATGTCAAGCCTTAAAATTGCGTGCGCCCGCAAAATCGCAAAAAACGCCCATAGGCGACGCTTAAAACGCTTTTACTGCTCATCAGTTTAGTGTTATCGGTGATTGATGGCCCTAAAAACTTGTGGCGCAATCGGCGTTTTCGCACGTAGGCACACCCGGCGCATATCTAATTTTTTTATGCTTTTTTTTAATGATTCTTTAATTTTTGTATTACTTTTATTACTTTTTTTGACACACAACTTTTTTGCTATTACATCGGGGGCTATGAAGCCCCCTATATAATAGCCAATTTACATGACAGGTCCTCTTTATGGAGACATCAGGGGTCTCCAAGACCCCTAATGTCACCTAGGGACCCCCAGAGAAGCTGATGAAGCAGAGATCTGCTTAATTAGCGTCTGTAGCTGGAGAGTGACACTGAATGCAGGAAGTGATGTAATATACATCACTTCCTGCATACGGGGACTGAGAGGAGATCAAAGGGAGTTCGTATACTGAACTCCCTGTGATCTCCTGTCACAGAGCCATGCCGGTCCAGGCCGCATCGGGCACAGCGGATCTCGGGACCGGCAGCGGCAGTGACAGCTGCTGATACAAGCGATCGAGCGTCTCTAGAGACGCTCGATTACTTGAATGTAAAGCTCCCGGCCGGCCGTGTAATTACAACGGCCGGCTGGGAAGCTGCTCGTCGGGCTCCACCGTCCTCTCGTCACAGACGAGTGGACGAGTGGATTTTTCAAGCCCTGATCATAAGTATATGTAAAATTTGGCTCTGATGTGTGGCAGAGCTTTGTAAATCACAGAAACAGATGGGCAGAAATAGAAATCAATTGGATGGTAAAACAACCCCATATATATATTTCAACCTTGTATCCAGCTGTTTGCCAGGAGTTCAACTTTAAATTGCCATAGGTAACTAAGATGTAACATGATATTGTTTAACCCCTTCGTGACGGGAGACGTACAGTGTACGTCTTGTCACTTTGTGCCTATATGACTGGCCACGTACACTGTACGTGACGAGTTATATCAGGCTTTGTAATGCCGGTATTTGCTGATTCTCAGCATTTAACAGTCATTCATTAATGTCTCAGTATTGAGGCATTAATTAATGAAATAATTAAGCTTTTTGTAAAAGCTTCTTCCTTTCATTAATGAAAGAATGAAGCCGTTACATGCAAATAGAGGACCGCAATTTGCGATCCCGTATTTGACAGCTCAAAATAGCAGAGAGGCAGCAGTGACTCACCTCACCTCTCTGCTATTTGTTTTGACAGTTCGAGAGCCCGATGTTTAGATACATTTCACTGAAAGAATACAATGTATCTCTTTTGAGTGAAATGTATCATTTCTGATCGTCTAGGCACGATCAAAGAGCTTTTAGTGAGATCTGAATCTGACTAAAGTCAGGATCAGTCTCTAAGGTTATTATTAGCTGTTCCTAAGTTTGGATCAGCCTAATAGCCAAAAATAAAATAAAAAAGTTAATTTATCAAGCTGTCATAGTGATTGCTTGATATAAACTGACAAGAAAAAAAAAGTTTTTTTTATTTTATTTTTATTTTTTTTACAAAGTGTAAAAAAATTAAAATAAAGTGTAAAACAAAATTAGGAAAATATAAATTATATATAAATATATTTTTTATACTATAATTAATATAAAAAATTCCTAAAAAAAATAATAATAATCAAAACTTGTGAAAAAAGTGTTTTCTTCTAGTTTTTTTCCTCATTTTTTTTTTTTTATTCAAACTAAGTGAGGGGTTAGGTACACATATGTGATATAATTATATAGCCCTATCTGTCCTCTAAAAAACAATATATAATATGTGTGGGTACATTTAGTAAGAAAGTATATTACTGCTGTGGAAGAATCACACAGCAAAAATGTAAAAAATGTGTCAGTCATTTATGAACAGAACCTGAAAACTAGCTCAGTCATGAAGGGGTTAAATCAGCAAATAATGCTATAGTATTAAATGGATGCCATTTTCTAAAGACAAAAATATACTAAAATATGCTAACCAGAGCAAAGGCAAATAATGCCCAAAGGAACCAGTAAGATGCTACATTACACTTTTCTGTTGCAGAGATTAAAAGCACAGGGATAGCCTGATTGATCAAATGTCCCACAACTTTTTTTACTCTCTTCCGTTTATATATTTAATATGTGTTCTGATATGTTTAAAGCATTCTAAAAATAATTTGGGCATGTGAGTAACTGCAGTAAAATTATTTCTTCTTATAAGTGTCATAGTGAGTTTCTACTGTATATGTGTGATTTGAAATTCACAAAAAATACATGCTTCAAAAAATCCACCATGCTCATTCAATGTGTCTGCCATCTGGTACAGAAACATTTGCTATAGTTGTACAACTATTTAAGTCTGACATATGCTGTATAGTTCCATATGGTTAGAAAGTGTTTTTTTATGCTTTTTATTTTTACATTTATATGACTTTTTTTCCTTTAATTTACATATTTGTATTTTACTTGCCATGTTTAGTTTAGTATAGTTTAGTACTAGTATAGACATAGTTTAAGTCTATACTAGTTTATGGCATATTGGAGACATTCATGCCATTGGCAAATGAAAATCAAGTTAATGCATTTTATGTATGTGTATGTTTTTTCCAAGAAGGGAAGTTTACTCTCATTGAAGTGTGTATTATTTATCCTACAATATTCTGTGCTTTTGAAGTGTTTTTTTTCCTGACATGTGTATGATTTATTCTACTGGATTCAGTGCTTTTTACATTCTTGCACTGTAAACACCTAATATAAATGTAATAGAGCAAGAGAGTGTATAATTGAAGACGAGACGATATTACAAACATTATGAATGTAAGGATGGTATATGTATGTGGTATACAATTTTAAAAGATTAAAAACTTTGGGGCTTATTTTTAAAGCTGTGAATGTGACATTAACCAAACAATCACTGTAGATGTATATTTCTAGTGCGGTTTTTTTAATTAAAGTGACTGATTCACCTGCAGTGAATATTCAGTGAATGTTACAATTACTGTTTTATAAATATTTTTCTATAATTATGCATAGTCAGAAAAATAAAATTCAAGAATTTTAAATGAGTAAGTCCAGTAAAATTAAGAGGCGTCTAAGAAATTATTGAAATATCCTGCCAACATAGGTGTAGCCTGGAATTGCACCGATAAAACACAATTTATCAAATATGTCTTATGTGACCTTGATATAGAATGATCATGCTGAAAAAATGCACAATGATTTAAGCAACTTATTAATACTTTAAACCTAACCAAGGACCGTAAACCTCAAATTAACTTCTATAAGCATCCCTTAACCACAATCTAACATGTAGACATAAGACTTAAAGTGTAAGCAAATTCCTCACCTGTTTTCCATATATTTGGCAACATGCCTCACTGTATACAGTTTTCTTAAGCAAGTTTTTTAATCTATTGAACTGGTTCTTACCTGCAGACCCTGTCTATAACATCACATCCTGTTGCAGGATCACACCACTGAGCCACTACTTTGCAATTATTCAAAGCATTGTCAGTCTGCTGTCTGACCTGATAGATTCTTGACTGCCCCAGTGTTGTTAAAGAGAGTGTCTTCAGTCCTGTGTAAGCTCCAAATTGTAACTTACAACTTGAGCTTAAAGAGTTCTCCATTTATTTGCTTCAGGAAGCAAAGCACAGGTTCATGGTAAGTTAGCTTAAAAAAATAAATGTATTATAATAGTAAAGATAATAATGATATAATAAAGATAAAATTAATATTATCATGCTAATAATGGCTTCATTAGAAATGTCCAGGTGTTTGTGGCTAAAATTGAAAGTGTGCATGTAAAACTCATGAACCAATGTTAAATTGCTGCTAGATAATTACGTACAGAGTGATTTCTTCCTTTTTAAAATATTAATACTTTATGGTTTATTTTTATAAACAAACTGCATAGACAATTTTATTTTCTATGTATTAATTAAATATTGTTAAAATTGCCATGTTTGCATGACAGAATTATTCCATCTATTTTAACAGATATTCAATTGATAACAACTTGCAAGAAGAGAGAATTTTTGAAATTGACAAAAACAGTGGAGTGATTAGGACAACAAAACAATTGGATCGAGAGGAAAGTCCCTGGTATAATATTACAGTGGCAGCTTCAGAAACAGGTATCTTTTAGATGGGTAATGTAGTATTTTCCCTGCTGTTTGCACAAACCGGTGAAGGATTATATCTAAAAGCAGGTACACTAAACTAGCTGTAAAACCTAATCAATAAAATATTATCAGTCGAGAAAAATATATATCAAAGCGCTAAAGGTGTAACTAATATGAAACTTAGTATAACCAAGTGATATAGTGACATTTTAGGTTTAGGCGGTCTAGCCCTAAAACAAGTGATATGTCTTACATAGAATCATAAAAGAAATATATATAAAATAAATTTATAGTACAATAGTGCTGTGGAAAAACAGAAAATGATTGGGACAATAAAAAATTTCAACCACTGTGTAAAGACCTCGAATAGGTCACAATATGTAAACGATCCGTGCAAAAATATATATTAAAAAATTGGAATAAATTGGTCAACGAAAAATAAACGTAAAAAACGTGTACAAAGGAAGTTGTTAATGATATATATTGATGGTGGTATATATTTCGTAGCGGTGGTCCGACAGCCCCCCTTGGGTGGGTACTCACCAAATGGAGTTGGATCGAAGGCTTTTAGTTAGTGACGCTTGAGCCTGCAATCGTGCTTTCAAACTTGGACCCAGTTGTTTTTACTCTCAGTCCCTGCAAGGTGAGTGTTTGGTTTTTCTCCCTTGTAGCGCTGGCTGTATCCCAGAAGTAAAGCTGGATCGTCTCAGGCGCAGTGTCAAACGAAACTCCTTGCCGTGGTCCCGCAATATTTCAAAGATAAAAAAAGGAGAGAGCCCTCATAGTGTAGCGTGCAAAAACATTTAGCTTTATTACAAGTAGTAACTTACACAGGCAAAAAAATCCGGCCGGCACAAGCAGCTCAGGAACAAACTTTTAAAACCCTTGTGTGCAAATCTAGCGTCTGCCCTCTTTGACGCGTTTCATCAGGTGACTTTTTCAAAAAGAAGGTAGAACATTTCTCACCCAATAAAATATTATGTAAGCTTAAAATAATTTCAAAAATAATTTTCAATATTTTAAAATCTGCAGATTTCTTTAAAATAATACCTGGTGATCCTGTCATGAATGTCCTTGTCCAAGCATTTCCTGTTGTAAGAAATACAGAGCTCAGCTCTATATTATATAGTCTGCTATTGAAAAAATGCAATAAATATAAATCTCTCATTTAATAATAGATTATAGAACAAAAGTTAATCAGTGCATCCAGTGATTCATAAAGTGCCAGAGTAAGGTGCATGTATGAGTCTCTTGATAGAGATGTGCAAAAGTTGCTCTCAGGTGCCACCTCCCCAATCTATATGTGACTCAAAACAGAGTAGACCACACTTACCAGACCTGGTGGACCACTAGGGCAAACATTGTTAATGCAAAGTTTGAATTAATGATGAGTTCACTCCTCCTCCATCTGCAGTACTCTTCTTCTCTTGTATTCACCAGTACGCCCATACAACATTCAGAAAAACAAATCCATAGTGTAATCCAGTAAAATCATATGAATTGTTAAAACAGTTTTAAAAACACTCACAAACAGCCAAGGTATGATCACTCATATAACAATCTTTCCTCCTTCCCACATTGATTTCCGGTAGGGATAGAGGATTATCATCCACTAATACATCCAACAGATCTTTCCCTCGGTTCTCCCAGCATAAACCTCATAGATGACATCATCATGTAACCACCCACCGACGTGTTTTGTCATGTGACTTGTTCTGGGTTTAGCTCAAGGTCCAATTAAACTCTGAAGAAACAGGAAGCAAGGACATGAAAGTCATGTTTATTAATTCTTCAATTTGCAATCTTAAACAAAAGAATCTTGCATTTAAAAAGCTGCTCTCTGCCAAATGGTATTTTTTAACATGTTTATTGTATTGGTATACATAGGGCAGTACCCAGATCACAGTGCACTTTATTTGAATTGGGGGATACCTATGTTGTTTTTTGCAGAAAAAAAACAAGCCACAGGGAAATTTAATTTAGCAGCCAGATATTTTCTTTGTAAATGTCACTCATGTTTGTCTTTGCTTGTGTACATTCTATAGATGCACCAATTCACATGCAGATTTAAGAGATCCCCTAAGTCTGTTACTTAAAGGCATTGTGCATTTTTAATGTTACCCTTTAGGGTTATTAAAAGAGCCTCGCATTGCCGTATGGTATTTTGTTTGCATTGGTACTTGAACCCCATGGTCCTTTGTTTGACAACATGTTGCCTAATAGCCTTAAAAAGGGTTAGAATTTTAAATATTTGTCTCCCATTGACTTCAGCGGGGTATGTATTAATGTTCAAAACTCAATGAACCTCCCCAAACCAAAGCAAGGTACGTTTGGCTCATCCCTATTAGTGAATTGAATCCAGCAGATTAGTTGATCTCTAGTCACAATGTACAGTAACAGTAAAAAAAATTCAAAGCTTTAATTGTGTATTAACTTTTATTTATATTACTATTATTAATTAATTATTCAGGATGTATACAGTATAGTGCCAACAGTTTGTGGAGAACTTTACAAAGCTTTTTTACATAAAGGGAAGCAGTACAGTTTCAACACAATTCAATACAGGGGGGACAGCAGCAACTTTGTAGCCAGCTGACAATCACCATAGAAAATAATGATAGACATGTTACTGCTATAAATCTGCTACAATTGTGATTATTGTGATTATGTGACATGGCTCTAAAAGTGGTGAGAAATACACACAAATGGCTTACATGTTTTAAAAAATAAACCTTTTTGTGTTTTCCTCACCATAGCACTTGCTTAAGCTAGTGCTGTTTTATACTTCATTGTTGTTTGCTGTATACCCTATCGGCTCTGCTTCACGAACTCCAGAAACTAGTGGAGTGCAATGCACTTTTGTGAAGCAGCATGTCATTTGCTTTATAAATGTGCAGAGCATCTCTTTAAAAGTATGGACATGCTGCAGCTTTTTATGTAGACTCTTAAATTGTATATGTAGCTTAACTACTATATGATTGGGTTTTAATAATGTTACACATTTTCTTGTGATCAGCAAAAACAGCAACATTACATTTCATTCCATTCTTTAGGTCATTAATAAAAAAAATCTTAAACCAAACTGGGTCCAGGGATAATCTTTGTGTTAAACCACTGCTTGCATTAGCCACATATGTTATGTATAAAACTACCCATTCTTTTCTGCCCTTTATTCAATTGCATGCCTATACACATATATATCTTTCCAAGTTCACCCCTAAAAAATAGTCATGTTAGTTAGACATGACCTATTTTCCATGCTGATTCTCTGTCATTAGATAATTTTCTCAATCCAAGTTAGTCAACCCAAGCCAGTTATTGTCCTGGTTGCTTGGAGACATGTCCTGCTACAGCACTACTATTTCTGAACTTTTGAAGACATTCCAAATATCAAAGCAAACAGGCATGTTTCTTAGGATATGCTAGCTCATAGACTAGCCTTTTTGACTAGGTAAGTAGAGTGATTGTGGCATCATGGTTTAGTTCATTTAGGTTTTTTTGTTAATTTAATAAATTTTTCTCTACTGCTAGTTTCATTTTTGTTGTAGTTTTTTTTTATTCCATTCTCTGTTTCTTTCTCTTTCTGTAAAGAAGAAAGAGTGAAGAGGGTGATGCTGAGTCAAAACAGGTCCAGGATAGTTGAAAGGAGCTTCTATAGTTATTTAAAGCCTATTGCCCTTTTTGTTTCACCCTCTCCATTGACTCCAATAATTTTGAGCAAAATGGCAGGATTTTGTCGAAATCTCCCTATTTTCTCTGCAATTTCAGGGAAATTAAAACTCAATTTTGCTCATCTTTATTTTTTACACTCTTTTCCGAACACCTACTTCTAACAGTGACTCAAATTTTTATATGTGGATTTTGAGCCTAATCCCTTACACCCCCTCTTCTCTGGCCTTATCAGTGACTAACCGGCGAGCAACAAGCTCCTCTCCAAGTAGTTAATATATTGCATTTAAATCCAAGTTACAGGCTATTAGATGATGGCCTCACACCCTGTGCATCATTATTCCCCCTTGAATTGCTGTTCCGGGAGTGCACACATTGTGTATATAATGTACCCTAGACATCATTATCAAACATGGAGCACAAAATTAATAACTCTATGGGCATGCGTATAATATGTAAAAAGACAATACATTTATTTTAAAGTGACTCTGTTGGTACATAATCTCACTATTGGACATGCAAGACAGTGGGAGAGACCACAAAATGCAGCAGGTAAACCAGGTGTTTAACCCACCCAAAAGTAGAATGCTTGCATTAACCAGGGAATTGTCAGGACCAGATGCAGATACTTCAGTCACATTATATAGCAGATAACAAATGTACCTTTAACAGCCACCTTTCCCTTAAGCCAAGTTCACCTACTGGTACTCAGATGCTCCCAGGACTCATACTTTGCACTCTGACTGTAAAATGTCACATGTGGGCCCAGAGGCACAGAGCAGGGGTACAGACTGGTGATAGAGGATGCAACAGAGGTATTTACAAGAGACAGGCTAAGGTCTGTACTGATAGTATTCCAGAAACAGGCTGAGGTTAGGACTGGCTGCAGACAGAGTATTTCAGGGACAGGCTGAGGTCAGGGCTGGTAGCAAGATATAAGGCAGAAACAAGATACAAGATCAAGATATTCAGAGGCTCATAAAAATAGAACTAGACAGTTGACCTTGTGATGTTTAAATCAAGTGCCACATTTAATCCCAAAACTGTGGGGTATGTGGCCAGGTTCATTAGACCACAGCTGATGAAGTAGTCAAGGAAAGGTTCTGGGGATGTGTGACCAGGCTCATTAGCTCACAGAAAAAAGAAAAGGCTAGTTGCACTCCTTACTGGTATGACCCCGTGATTGAGGAGGGGTGTTTGGAATGACTGCGGATGGCGCCGCCAAATACAGATAATTGCAGAAACGTCACCAGCACACCAAATCCTTATAGAATCAAAATTCGTAGATTTATTGCAAACTCATTTCAGTTACACAAGTGCTTTCCGGGGCCACACAGGATCCTGTCATCAGGTATGCTGTGCTATGCCTGATGACGGGACCCTGTGTGGCCCCGAAAGCGCTTGTGTAACTGACATGGGTTTGCAATAAATATACGAATTTTGATCCTATAAGCATTTGGTGTGCTGGTGATGTTTCTGCAATTATCATTAGCTCACAGCTGACAAAAATAAGTCTGGGAAAGGTGCAGTGGGAGCAAGCAACCACCAGGAGTAGCTGGGAAGCTGCAACGTGTATAGCAGCATTAGGCATGCTCCTAACATGAGCAGAGGAAAAGGCAGAGTTTCAACGCATGGGCCACCAGAAGGTAAGTATATTTACTCTTCCTTTATAGGCATGGTTTTATATACAAGTGAAATTGTGGTGACAGGTTTATTTTAAAGTCAGTAGCCACTTTTTTACTTACTTACTTTAACTGGAATGCTACTATTTAAATATGATAAATGGCCAAAAAAGCAGTTACAATTTTAGGATTACTTAAAGTGACCTTAACAGAGTAAAAATATATATAAATAAAGGCACCCTTTTAAGAGAAGAGCTTTTGTACTCACTTCTCTGGAAGACAATGGGGGTGATTTACTAACTTAAACACACGCACGCACCAGGTGCGTGTGATTTTTACACAGCGAAGCGTATTTATCAACCAAAAAGTTTCTATAAGCATGTTTGCACTAATGCCATATATGGAAAAATCATGCACATGATGCATATATAATGCTGCTTCACAGACAAAAGTGGTTAGCTCATGCATTTACATTCCTGCATTCATCAACGCAAGCAACACAACATAGAGCTAATTTACACAACATCACCTTGCAATTCAGGGCAGGGCTTTGCACAACACACCTGCTGGGTGTGTACACACTACAAAGGTGTTTAGATTCCACCCATAGATCATGCTTGGAGGGAACACACTACAGAGGTGTATACATGTTCGTGGTGTGTTTATAAGGTTAGTAAATCAACCCCAATGTCTTCTACCTCTCCTCCATTCCAAATCTCTTTGGAATGCAACATTTCCTGGACTCCTGAATGCCTGCATCTCCTGTGTTCCATCCCCTGACCCCTACATCACTGCTCAATCCTGTATGCATTGGAGAAGGGAATGATAGAGAATGCTGGGTAACACAGGACTCTAATAATATATGAAGTGTTGAATGCCAAAGAGTTCTTTGGAGTCTGCATCAGAAGAGAAGGAAGGTAGAGAACATAGTCTGCAGGAAATGTGACAATAAGAGTTCTTCTCTTTCAGAGCACCCTGTTTTGGATTTTTTTCATTCTAATAAGGTTACATGAATCTACACTGAGGCAGCCATTGCGGAGTCAGGGTGAAATAATAGCTAATATGTGTTCCAAGCCAGTGACTTTAAGTACTAAAGATGTTGGATCAAAAGAGTATGTCAGCAATGGTAGCTTTCTTACTTTCTTAGCACAGGTTTACTTTAAATGATTAAAACCAAAACTGTAGTTTCCTATGTCTTTGTGATGAATTTTGTCCCTGCATTTAAGTATGTACTTAGAATGCTAAACTGCAGTTATGCGGATAAATTGTAAGCCTTGCTTGGAAGTGCAGAGATTTGCATCTCTTTCAGAAGCACAGCAGTAATAAAAAGTGAATGAGCAGTTTATTTTCTCTTCTTACTCAAATGTAATCCCTTACAAACTGACAGCTCCAAGAAATACACTTTAGGGTGAATTTCCAAAGTTAAATGAACCTGTGTATATTTCAAGCTGGAGTAAGATTCCTATTTTCTTTTAATTTCCTTGAACGCAACTACATACTTAGCTTAGAAACTCAGCTTTTAGCAGAGGTTAGAAGGCTAGGGGCTGATCTACCCCATCATAATACACCACTATTCCCATCGAGTTATCATTATGACCACTGAATGTTTGTTTACAATAAACTGCTTTCACCTGCAGAGGGAACTGTCCCTTTCTCTCAAGGCGATACTGTATTAGAGAGCATAATAGTGTGCAAAAACTGTAGTAGTTAGTCCATGGATGTGGATATTAGAACTTTTGTATCTGTTCAATGTCTACCTCATTAAATGAATACCTCATTTAATTTCCACAGAGCGGCAACATTACAATTGGTGGTTTTCACTGTGAAGTTAGGGGGCTTTATTCTATTTTTTGGCTCAGCAGCCCACTAACCAGTCTCTTGCATTTCCTTGGAGAGTAGATTGTCTGGATGTGTGGAGCCTTCTGGAGCATCATTATCAATTTTCTTTAAGGAAATCTGGTGAAAGTTACCTTCTGAGAATCTAGGTGGAATCTTGGCCAAGGTGTCTTCACATTCAGATACTGTGTCACGGTTTGGAGAGCAGTGTTTCTGGGGCAAGTGAGCCAGTACCAGCTTAGAAGGGACACATACCAAGGCTTCTCATATTGTTTTTGGCTTCAATTTGGTTTTTAAGCCTATGTTGACTGGTTTGTTGGGTATTGATGAATCTTTATATTGCACTAGGTCCAGAATAACAGGTATTTAGTGCTTGTAATAGTGAGTCTGTACTCAGAAGGTGTGAAGAGCAGTCACTGTACATCTGCCATTGGTGATCTTATGCATGCACTCAGTCATAATGCTTTTAAGCTTAACTAATGCATACTTGAAGATACTTCATTTTCTTTAGGGTTAAAAGATCTCTGGTCATGTAGGGGTTGAGCACACTTAACTTTCTGCTGTAAAAGATTATTTCACTGATGGAAATAAACAGCTATTTATTGTTATTTGTAGTAGGTAGTTATCTGTTTGCACAATTGATAAATGGAGCAGACAAGAAAGTTTGTGACCAGAAGGCTATTTATATAATATTACATCTATATGTTACATTATTGTTACTGAAGTCTCAACCTTTTATTACAACTAATTAAAGTTATAGGTTTGGTTTGGTGGTTTGTAAAAATTGCACTGAGACTCTAAATAGAAACTTTTATTCAGAATGATCTTGCATGTAGTTTTAAGATCACATGTAATTTTAAGATAAATACAAATTTTAGAATTATTTATGTATTTTATTCTTGACAAATCTCAGACTTTTTGTCCAATCACGTTTTTATTGCGACAAAGTGTGAGAAAATCGTGCAGTGCAGAAAAAACAGCCATAACAAAAACCTGAGAAAGAGAAAAGGTTTTTATCAGAATTATTCACCACTATACATTGCAACATATGCCTATTAAATACTATCTGATGTGCACTTTCTTTTGTGATATTTGTGCTCCCTTGATTATGAATGCTTTATTGTGTGGGGAAAATGATTGACACTTTTAGGGAAGGTATGGCTAACCACATAACCAGTGTATGACAAGCAATCTGGGAAAAATAATAAGGTGGTACCTACATAAAGCTCAGAATAGGAAAACGTTGCCATCATAATTGATGGTGTTCCTTTGTTATTACAGGAGATGATCAGATCAGAGAAACAGTGAAGATGGTTATATCTGAGTGTCTGAATAAGAAATTATCTTTTACATTTTCCTGTAACTGATGTAAAATTTTTCATCTTGTGGTGTATTGAGAAATGGAATTTGGTATTGCATTTTATCTTTTGAGCTATTCCTTAAAAGGAGATTTGTAGAACCACTTTACCTAAATGTATTGCATTCTGATACCTTTGTGCACCTAATAACATCCAGTATATTTATTTCTTCTTTATTTATATTTTTCTGTTATTAACATGCAAACCAAGGTATCCAGCAAAACTGACAGTAATAGGAGTTGGGACAAACAGCATTATTTTTTATTTTTCAAAACACTTCTCCTACTTACACTTTCCCAGGATTAATGTTGCCCAGGCATTCTTTTGGCAATTTGAGCCCTATAGCTTTAATTCCAGGGTTGAACAAAGATGCAACCCTTTACTTGTTTAGATTCCAAACTGTGAGCATAGCCACCCTAGTGTAAAAGGGTGTTAGCCCAGTAGTTCTCTTTGTTTCCATTAGATGTCTCCACCTGCCCTTATGTCCTCTACTTTGGGCTCCAGGTGGCATTTTGGAGAAGCCTGTAACTAATAAAACACCAAAGTGTTGTGATATTTAGGTGGCAAGGTTGGAGAGGCAGAAGGCAATAAAGAGCACTGTCTGCAGGGGTCTGAAGAAGTAATAAGACAGATAAGACTGTTTGTGATAATAAGGTAGGTCTAGACAGGGTCCTGGCAAGAAGAAACAGTGTAGGGATACTAACAGATGCCCTTAGAGTTGGACTCGCATCTGAGGACAGAACACCAAATGTATTCTCTAGTTTTTAGTCTGGAAGAGTTCTGCAGACCACATCTAGACAGCACCCTTTCAGCAAAGCCTCACAGGTACATGCTTAAGGAGCATACCTCGAGCAACCTTCAGTATGTAAGCCCTACATTACTGTTTTGACTTGATTCAAAATCAAAACAGAAGTAAAGTGAAGTAGTAAAAAAAATTAAGCATTTTTAAATCATAATGTGCTAGTATGCAAAGCAAATTAGTACCTTATGGCACGCTTACCTTCCAGGTTGATTCCTTGCAGCACTGTGCTCCTCCCTCGCTGCTGCTTTTATTTTCTCAGAATCTTTTTCAAGGTTTTGAGTCTTTGGCAATTTGATTAACCCATCCCTGATATGTAACTCACATGCATGCACACACAAGCTAATTCATCATGGCATGCTGGGCCTATGCACTGAGCTGCACATGTGTGGCTCAGTGTATAAGAAACAAAATTGACAGCTAGAAGGTTTTATGGCAGAAGACATTTGCAGTCTCTTATGTCATAGAAGTCTACCTACTGACTTTTTTTGTTACCTTACCCCCACTTTAGGTCTTAATGTATAGAACTGAACTTTGGAGGAAGAATACCATATTGATTTGACTGCATAAAAATGCTAAAAGAAGTCATTTTAGCTGTTCCATTTAAAATTATGCCACATAGCTAGCCTCGCCCACGCTAAAATAGGAAGTGTGTTATTCAATGGATTAATATGGAAATGGAAATATAGGACAAAGCCTGAAAAAAGAAAACTAATGCAGCTGCTATGTCTGAGATGGAGCATTGTCTCCCTATAAAAGGAAATGCCTGCAAAATACCTTTATGACAAGATTATAGGTATTATTTTAATTAAAGCTGCAATACAATTGATTTTTTAAATTGCATTAATACTTATATGAGATTTAAGTGATTGAGTTTCCATACACTTTATGGGCCATATTTATAAAGCAGTGAATGTGACTTTCACTAAACATTCACTGGTGGTGACTCTATCACTGTCATTAAATAGACATGCGCCAGTAAGATCCACCTATAGTGTGAGTGCCAGATTAATTGTTTTATAACAAGTGTTAAAGGCTTGTTTTAGGGCTTAAGTAACATTGCTAAAGGAAGGGGGCATTAAATGTTAAGGCCTCACTTTAGGTGTTAAGTATTGGTGGGAAAGTTAAGTGCTGAGGGCTTGTTTTAAAAGCTTAAGAGCTAAATGCTCAGTAAGGTAAGGGAACCCTACTAGAGTGCTAGTGTAGGAGATACTTTCTGCAATATGCACATACATTGATGTAGCACCAAAAACCTCATGGATAAAATAACCAGTGCCATGCTCCAGCACTGAAAACTTTAGATTAATGAGCAGGGCCCTCCTAACCCTCCTTGTACTGAAAGTTCTATGCAAGCTGTTAGCACTATAAAAATCCAGAATAATGATAATAATGTTATGACATAAAATTTACAACCAATGAAAATACATTCCATGACTAGTGTGGTCCTTTAAACAATGTGAGAACATTTTTTTCACTAGACTTATAAACCTTTAGTTAATAACGAATAGTTTTTGACAGTTTTATCTATTCTTTAGGAGGTGTTTATTAAACTAAATGGTTTTAAGCATATGCCTTTTTGTTCAACCTTTGTTGACTTCAATACTGGTTTTAAACATCCTAATTTCAGTATAAAACTAGGATGATATGATGTAAGAATGCCTTTGATATTATACTACAGTTTTTGTTATGCTGGCCACAGACCTTACAACCATCGCAAGACTCTTGTCTTGCGATGGTTGTAAGGTAACTAAAAAAATGTATGATCTGCCGATCTTAGACTGCTGAGGGGCAGGCTTCCGATGACCGCAATGCTGAACGGGCAGTGTGCGCTTGCGCACACCGGACCGTGCAGCATTTATCTTACGAACATGCCACACACCCGCCCACAATCATACGATTCTCGGCGGGTTTTCGAACATGTTCCTAAGATAAAAGTAGTGTGACCGTACAGTAGAAACGGTTGCACGCCTTCCACACACCTTGCGATAATCGTACGATCGCGGGATTCCCGAGATTATCGTACAATTATCGCAAGGTGTGTGGGCACCTTTACACAAAATTTGCTTATCATGCAGTCTTCTCAATCAAGTGAATTCCAGTCAGGTGACTAGTTATGTTTTAAGTCATGTAAGGTCAAGCCTCGAGAAGGAGCTGATTTTAGAACATTCCTTTTTAAATTCTTGCTCGTTAGACTATACTGACAAGTTTGGAAATGTGTGAAAACTATTGTATATCTTTTACTATGACTGTTAGCAAATTGATAATAAATATATACATTGCATTTCCAACAGAAAATCCTACCCTAATGAACTACGTTTCAGTTGGTATTAAAGTGTTGGATGTTAATGACAATGCCCCATATATTGGCAATGAAGATATACTCGTTTGTGAAAATGCAAGGCCAGGCCAGGTAACCTACTTTTCTAACATATATTGTTAAACATGTTAAAACTGTGACTTTTTCCATATTTTTAATAAATAAACAAATTGATTGGTCTTACTTTCTGTGTTTATAATTAATTACATTTTACGAGGTACAAGAAATCCTGATGTACAAAATAACACAGTGAGAAAGTTACTTTTAATTAACATCTGTACATTATTACAGCATTAATGGAATTAATTTCTCCTGAACAGGAAGCACTGAATTCACTCTGACTTTTTTAATTGGCATGCTTATTATGGATCAGTGACTTACAAGGTATATAAACCAAAGAAAGTCAAGTAACTAGCTATTTTAGGGGACACTATAATGATTTTGTTTATGTATCTATGTATGTACTTATGTATTTAAATATTATAGGCAACCTTTGTTTTACAATTAAAAATGTACTGTGTGCAGAGCAGACAGAATCGGGAACAGTTGTCCATGGCAACCAATCAGCTTCTCTCTTTCATTTTCAATGCTTAACTGAACAAACTGAACAGAGAAGCTGGCCAGTTGCCATGGGCAGATTGTGTGTGATCCAGTTTTGATAAATTCCCCTTTAAGACTGTGTGTGTGTGTGTGTGTGTGTGTGTGTGTGTACGCATTTGAAAATATACAGACTGCACAATGCAATTAAGTGGAATTATTTTTATCAATGTCATTTTTCCTCACTGTGCTGCTTTGTATACTATGATGTGTTTTACTAAATTTGTGCACTATTATTACTATTAGTTCTGCTTCAAAGTATCTAGATGGCTGCTTTTTCTGGACATTTGTCCTTATCTTTTTACATGAGCAGATTGGTTTAGATTCATGTTTCTTTTATTCCTAGTTGAGCATGTTGATATTTGCTCTACTAGTTTGACATTTTTGTGCACTACCTATTTATTTTCTGTATTCTCTCTTGAATTCCCTCTAGCTTAAGGTTGTATATTATACCACATGTCATAAAACTCAATTTGCAGATTTAGAGGGTTATTCACTAATGAGCCAAAGGATCCAGCCGTAGCTTCGGGCTGATCCTTCGGCTCGCTTCAGCAGCCTCTGTCCTCCGGTTCAGTCGAACTGAAGAGCTGCTGTACGGGCTATTCACAATAGCCCTGCAGCAGCTGAGCAGTTCTGCATAGCTGGAGGCATATGCTTCGGCTCGGCTGAGCCATAGTGACAGGCGAAGTGTGGAGAAACGTTGGCCTGAACTTTCTCCATGCTAATGACAGCTGGGTGGAGCCAGCTAGGATCTCACAGCTTGCTGCGACCAGTTGTAATGACAGATCAGCATCCCCAAATGTCCTGGGAATGCTGATCAGTCATTGAACAATAACTGGGCGAAGCCAGCTGTGACATCACAGTCAGCTCAACCCAGTTGTTTTTTTTTGTCTGCATCTTCATTCATCTTTAGATGCTTCATTATGAGGCGGGAGTTCATTGCATGCTGTCAGTTTGGCGTGCATCTTTTTTTTCAAGAATAGATTTTTATTCATTTCATGTCATATACAATTCCTTTATATAATTATGTACACAAAAATAATAACAGTAGCGTCTACATCCAACAACTATCTCTTATCCGTAATTACTTGTCGACTAATGCTTATATTCAATTGGATATTAAACTAAACCACCATCATAAATACTTTTATTTCTGTTGTAACAAGAACAAAAAGAACAGGAAAAAAAAGAAAATGTTATATTATATAAAAATGACTATTCACTCCCAATACCATTCGCAGTGTGACACCTTTACTTTCACCCCTACACATTTTTTTTTACCTATCATCCTCCCCACTTCATCCATTCCCACAACACCCCACCTCCCTTCCTTCAATACCTCCCCACAATAACCACTCGCGAACAATCCAAACAGAGTGAAACATAACAAAAAAAAAAAAGAGGAAGGGGAAGCAGTACACTAGTTCATTATAAGTATTGTTGAATCTCTATTGAGCCAAGAAAAGCCATCCACGGTCTCAATTTTTCTACAAATGTTGCGTGTCTATCATATACACAAGCTGTCAACTCTTCCATTCGCATTATATGGTTAATTTCTAGTACCCAATCCCGGATCTCAGGGGCATTTGATTGTCTCCAGTATCTTGGGATTATCGCCCTTGCTGCTGCCAATATGGGGCATGTCAGTCCCCTCTTGATACTTTTTACTGAGCCTGGAAGCATTGATAGTAATGCCGCTTCTGGGGTTTCGGGTAATTTTGATCCCATAACTCTACCCGCCAGTTCAATTCTCCAGTAGGGCTTAATTCCCTGACAAGTCCACCATATATGCAGCATTGTGCCCTCTTCTATTCCACATCTCCAGCACAGCTTAGTTACTTGGGGGTTTATTTTATGTACTGTCACTGGGCATCTATACCCCCTACTTGTTATTTTAAAGTTCCTCTCCTGTATTCCAACCGAAATACTCGATTTAAAAGTTAAGAAGAAAACTTTATACCAATCCTCTTCTGCAAAAGTCTGTCTTATTTCTCGTTCCCACTCTTTAATATAATAGGGAGGGGACGGGAACATTAACTTCAAAAGTATATTATAGATCCTTGACACCCTGTGCTTCCCCCCTGGTTTATGTAAGATCATTTTTTCAATTAAAGTCAATTCCCTCTCTATTGATCCCTGGGAGCACAAGTAGTTGTAAAAGTGTTTAAGTTGAAAATAGTCAAGCCATCTACCTTGTCTCGCCGCTCCTGGTGACAGTAGATCTGTTAAAGGGAGTACACCCAATGCGTTCACAGCTTGTAATATTGGGGAATGGCTCAAGGTCTTCCATCTCAAAAATCTTTTATCCCCCAATCCCTGTGGGAAATCTGGGGTACCGAGTATGGGTGTCAATGGGCCCACATAAGATTATACACCACACTTCTTAATCAATGCATCCCATATATTTATTATCAGTCCTATTACGACAGACCGGTTCCATTCCCGTGGCCGTTTGTCTGGGCTTATCCATGGTAATAATGTTAGAGGTATTGAGGGCTCAGCTTGTTCTATGGTTACCCAGAGTTTGGGCCACGTAGGGTCGAACCAGTCCATCATTCTGTTAAGGGTCGCTGCTTTATAATATATCTCCATGTGTGGCAGACTCCCTCCTTCTACTGATCTCCTTTTAACCAAAATATCATATCTTAGTCGTGCTCCGGAAGTACCCCAGATATATTGTAGCAACAGAGATCGTAATCTATGAAAGTATAATCTGGGGATTTTTACCGGGGTCGTCTGAAATAGATAAAGAAATCTTGGGTGGATATCCATCTTAAATAGTGTCATCCTCCCTATCCAAGAGTGTTTACTCTTCTTCCACACCTCCATTCGTGCTTGTGTCGTCTCCAGGTGGGGTATGTAGTTAAGTTCATATCGTTTTCTTACATCTGCGGATATTTTTATTCCCAGATAATTTATCGCTTACGGAGCCCCGGCGAATGGAAAACTAGACCTCAGCGTTTCCCGCTCGCCCTGAGGGAGAGTTACATGCAGGCATTGAGATTTACTAGCATTGATTCGATAGTTGCTAACTCGCCCACATTGTTTTATCTCCCCCAGGACCAGCCGGAAAGCTATCCTGGGATTTGTGATGTATAGAAGCAAATCATCTGCGAAAATACTCAATTTGTGTGTTCTCTCCGTAATGGTCACTCCCCTTATATCTACATTCTGTCGTATTGCTATAGCTAGATGTTCCATGGCTAAAATATAGAGTAAGGGGGAGAGTGGACACCCCTTTTTTCTATTCTGCTCGCTACCTTGGAGGTACCGAGCAGAATAGCTGAGTCGCTCGGCGGCATTCAGCTATTCACTTACTGCCCTTCGGCCCCTATGGGAATAGGGGCGAACGGCAGCGAGTGAGCTGCCAGAGCTTCGGCTCAGCCAGTCCAGCCTCGAACTCCTTCTGCACTTCAGCTCAGCCGAACATGCAGAGCATGTTCAGCTGACTGAAGGCAGCCGTTGTGTGGCTGATTTTAGCCGATGTATGGCTGAAATCAGCCGTACAAGGCTGCAGTGAATAGCTGAACAGCATTCGGCTCCCTTCACTCCGGCTCGGTTATTCACTCGACTGAATAACCCCCTTCATTTTTAATCTATGGCATTAACCCTTTCGCTGCCAAGCCCTCCGGAACATTTTTCAAATCAGCTGGCCAAGCCATTTTTGAATTTTCTGCATTTTTTTCCTATTGATTTGATTTTCAACTGCTGCGTTGCTAGCGTTTGTAAAAGACCCCCCAAACCATATATTTTCTGAAAGCGCAGGCCCGGTAGAATAAAAAGATGGTGATACTAAATTTGTAGGCCCTGCGATAATTGCGCAAATGTTTCTCAAATTAATATTAAACCGATAAAAATACACAATTCAATTGTTAAAACACACCAAAATCAGTATCCGTGCACCAAAAAAATATTTTTTACTAAATCTAAAAGATAAAACTGTATTGAGTTAATAAATAACAAATATTAGCAAATTTGTAATTGCGCCTTTTTGCGAAAAGGTAAAAAAAT